CTTTCTGTCTGTCCGTCTCTCTCCGTCTCTCTCTCTCACACACACACACATCCACGCACATCACGGTTTCATGGAGACAAACGCTATCGAGCCACACTGGAGGTGAGAGACTCGTGCTGAAGCCATTCTGGAGGACGAATCGTTTCCTTCGGAGTAACTGACACGTGCTAGCGGCCCATATTGTCACAGGCATGGGATGAACAGCATACTTCAGCTCCTGGCACCGCAGCCTCTCTTAATGGGTGAAAACATTTATATGTAATAATAGGAATACAGGAACAAGGAAGCTGATGCTCAGCAAAGAGTTTCTGTGATTCTTCCACAAGGGCACAAATCATACTAAGAGGCTTCCAGCTTTGTACAGCAGAAGGGCTAGGGACTTCCCTGAGATGAAGCCATTTGGGATGAGACTCTTACCTGAGTCCTTGGGTGGCAGGGGCTCACAAGGATACCCCTCTATTCAGTCAGCCATCCTCCTACTCCCTGAGCAGAGTGCTTGCGAGTTCCTCAGCCTTCTCAGGCTCACGGGTTCTATCTCTTCCTGCCTGTTCTTCTGTCTCGCGAGAGGGACATGAGAGAATGAGACTCACAGACCACCTTTCCGTATAGCAAACAATAATGAGAGAGACAGTAGAGATTCTAAGATTGCTCTAACTATTTGGGGCACAACAAAACATAAAACCACAACATAGCATATTCAGTGATGTCTTTCTTATTTGCTTATTTCCCAAATGTTGTATGTCAATAAAGGGACCAGCAGTGGAGAACTTGAGGCCCTCAAGGAAAAGGAAATACTCAGCAGCTCCATTCAGGTCACACGCTGAAAATGCATTCAATTTGAACCTCAAGGATCTTGTGCCGCTCTACAGTCTAGGACACGAATGCATTAGCATTTGGACTTCAGCTTGAATGGCAAACTTGATTTTTGTTGTTCATATTAAAAAAAGCTATGCCAGATGCTTGGAAAACATGAGGATTTTGCCAGCTATGGAACAGAAATATTATCATTCTGCCTATTTGTAGTTTGAAGATCCAGAAAGTAATCAATGTCACTTGCAGTTGGGACTATACTGGTATCACTGAATTTTAAAGATAATAATAGCTAAGACTTAGTGTGGGTACTTACAGGTTACCAGGCATGAAGCTAAGTGTTTTCCATGTTATTGCATTTAAGTTTGTTCTCGCAGTAACTCCATGAGCTAGATATTATTAACCCATTTTGCAGATAAGGAAACCAAAACTTAGGAGAAGTTAAAAAAGTTTTCCAGGATCCACTCATTTAACAGATAATGATCGACCATCAACTCTGAGCTACTGAGGACCCAGTAGTGAACAAAACAGAAAAATCCCTTCCCTCATGTAACTCACTTCCTAATGGAGGGGATCATAGCTAACGTATTAAGTACCAGACGACATTTATATGTATTAATTCTTAGGGGGTGGGGGTGGGGGAGGTAGTAGTCTCAGGTTTGACCCCAGGCATTCTAACTACAGAGCCAGGGCTCCTGTTTCTGTATTACTGCCCAGTACTGCCTCACCCAGGTGGGCCCCCTCAGCTGGGAAGAGGTAAAACTTGGGGTTCCCAGCCAGACCTGTCCTTCAGCATGGTCTCAGCCACCACTGTTTTACAGAGGAACAAACAGACCATTTGTCTTTATTTCCCCATCCCGCCCCATCTATTTCATGGCCGAGAACAGAATCATGGACCTGAACTATCTAAAATAAAAGTCAGGTTCATTTTTATGACATTATTTTTAACATCGCTTCTGGTGGTGCCAAGGGCCCCAAGTCTTCTCTTCTTTAGGCCCTGAAGCTGTGATATCTGCCATACCTGTGTTCAGAACCATGGCTTCCTGGTGCCATAATTTTCTAGCAGTTTCTGCCTCATAGGATGGATTGAACCAGTATCTTTTTTGAAGTCAAATTCCAGTGTGTCCCAGTTAGGCCCTTGTTTTCAGCAATTCCGGGGCTTCTACCAAGTGACTGCAGACAGTGTTTGGTGTTGTTATTAAAAATATCAGATTTAGGAACAAGGGTTAGACTGGATTTTTACTCAAGGACCTTTTCTGTTTACTTTTGAAGTGGAATCCTCTACTTATGAGAGCGTAACAATCAAGTGGTACTGTTTAGAGTCCCCCACACCATCTGCAAATTGGTTTTATTATATGTGGGGCTCCTCTAGAGCCCTGGCAGTTCTACGTGTGAGTGCTGAAGAACAGGGTCAGAGGGAACTCTGCTCCTCTTTCCCCTTGCTTCCATGATGCACTGCACCTTTGCAGGAATAAGAGAGTGCCCAAGTGGAGGACCGCTCTGCCTCCTCCCCGCTCCCCAAGTCATCCTGCCTTCTGCCTTCCACTCTGTGAAGTTACTGAACCCCCCTTCTAACCTGACTTAGTCTTCCTTTGGTCATTCGGCAGGCACTTTCTCAGTACCTCCCCTATGTCAAGCTTTTTGACCAGAGCCCCACACACTGGCCCCTTTCTGGCAGAAAGGAAAGGGGCAGACAGATGAATTAGGTTTATAGTTAATAAATCCATAGAGTTAACAAGAGTTTTCTTAACTGGACTTCTCAGATAAGTCCAGTTTAGTGGACACAACACTCTACATTCTCCAGGGTAAGAGGTCCCATTACCAGGAACCTCAGCTCCTGGGTCGTACTCAAGGTCCAGTGGCAAAAATTCCCACAGAACAGGAAAGCAAAGGCCCCGCAACCCTCGGGGCTGGACTCCTGCTGCACAAGGTCCCCACTGGGGAGGTCTGGGTCCTCTTTGACCTGCAGCTTTTTGAGCAAAAAACTCTCTTGTAGGGGTCTCAGGGGTGTCCCCAAAAGGCTGGGGCTACAGATGGACGGTGCTGTGCCTGAGCTGAAGGAGCATCACACGGCTTCATCCATCACAGATCGTGCACACCGGGGCCCTCTATTTGATTGCACACTAAATTGTTAGCAGTCTATGCAAACGTGATCTTTCCTATAAATAAACCAATCCATGGCACACATAAAAAAAAGTCAGGCATTTCTTATGGTCAAATGGGGCTGCCTCCTGCTCTGATTAAAACTCACCTGTCAGCTCCTGTGAATTAGACAGCAGAATTAATCATTCAGTTTGCCATTATTTATCAACTACTGCTATGAACCTGAACACTAGGTGTGGCCCCACAGATACACAGTAAGCAAATCAGTCAGAGTACCCACGTTCTTGGAGCTCACTAAACAGACACTCAAGCAATCGCCCTGAAGTATGGTAGGAGCTCTAATTGGGGAAGTAGAGGTTGCTTGGAAAAACTTATTCCAGGATATCCAACCCAATATAGGTGGATCAAAGAAGGTATCTAATGTAGTTGGGGCTGCGGAAGGGATGTAAGAAGATTTCCTAGAGGAAGTGAAATCTAAGATACAATCTGAAGGATGGATAGCTGTTGATCTAGGGGAGGGGGGTGGGAGAAGTTTGTTCTAAGAAAAGAATACAACATGTTTTCTACCCTGGAGGTAGAAGGAAGCTTGGCACATCTAAGAAACTGAAAGACTTTCAAGGGAGTTGATAGAAAATGTTTGGCAGGGGACGGGGAGGTGATGCTAAACAGAGAAGCAAGAAGATGAGCCTGGAATGATGAGCAGAAACCAGGTGAAGTAGGCTCAGATTGGATTTCAATCTAAAGGCAATGGAAGCCATTGCAGAGTTATAAACAGGAAATACATTTCTTGCAATATATTTCTTGAAAGAGGTGGCACCATAGAGAACAGATTGTTGGAGAGCAAAGCAATGGATAAAAGAATAGATGAAAGAGTAATGGAGGACGAATGGAGGCAAGGCAAAGAGACCAGTTAGAAGACTATTGCAACAATTTAGCCAGAGAAAATGGTATCCTGGCCTAGGATGGTAGCGGTGAGGTTGGAGATGAGTGGGCATATTAGAGGGCTATTTTAGATGTGGAATCCATAGGACTTGGTGGTTGGTGATGTGAGGCGTTTTGAGAAGAATGCTCAGGTTTCCAGTTTGGGTAAGTGAGTAGATATTGAGTAGGGAACTGGGTAGATACTGGGATGGAGAGCATGGTTGAGGATCATGTTTGATAATCAGCTCACTGCTGAGACGTGTTGAGTTTTAGATGCCTATGAAACATCCAGGAAGAGGAAGCTGAAGTTAGTAGAACTCCGCAGAGAAGACTGGACTGGGTACCTCGTTAACAGGGTCATCAGCCTAGAGAAGATGGTTGAAGCTGTTGAAATGGATGCAGTCATGTAGTTAAGCATGTAGAGTGGGCAGGAACAAAAGCTGACGAGCAAACAGTGAGGAAACCCAACATTTAGGAGAAAGAACGAAGAATACATATGACACTGAGAAAGAGCAGATAGACAGAAAGAAGGAAATCCAGGAAAATGTGATAGCATGGAAAGCAATGGAAGCATGCTTTTAGAGCAGAGCGGGCTGCTGCATCACAAGGTGCTGGGTGGCCGAGTAAATAAGAACTGAAAGGAGGTTGTGGGTTATGTCAACCATTAATCTTCATTTCTGTGCTATTCAGTAAGCGTTAAATTCCGTATTTTTAGAGGATTTTCAGTGTTTTTTTTAAAAAATATCGTTGATTTAATTCCTTGATGTCTTCAGTTAAGATGTGAGAAAAAGTTAAGATAGGTATTAACATCTTGCGCAAGTAGAACACATTTGGGGCCGAGTCTCACATTATGCGTTGCTTTGGAAAATAATGATGGATGATTCTCTGCTGCAAGAGAAGTACTGCCTTTAACTGTCTTTCTTTTGTTCCCCACCCTCCAATCTTTATTTTGTTTCCTATCTCTTAGCCTCATGAACTCTTCTTTTAGATAAAACCTCTTCCCACAGGATTTGAAGCCTGGCCACTCTTGAAATTAGATGTGGAACTTCGTTCCCGTGTGTGATAAAGCATTTAAAAGTTAGTTCACAGCAGTTGTACGTCACCTTGTTCCAAGAGTGAACGATGACTTCGAGATTTACTCACCCTCTTTCCTGTTTCTTTCCCAGCTCCAAGAGACTGTGAAGAGGAAGTTGGAAGGAGCTCGATCACCACTTAATGGAGACCAGCAGAATGGTGCTTGTGATGGGAGTTTTTCTCCAACGAGCAAGAGAATACGAAAGGACATTCCTACAGGAATGGAAACCCTCAATATGCCACTGCCTTCAGCTTCTCCTCTTCACCAACTTGACCTGAAGCCTTCTTTGCCCTTGCAGAATAGTGGGACTCACACTCCTGGGCTTCTAGAAGATCTAAGTAAGAATGGTAGGCTTCCAGAGATCAAACTTCCTGTCAACGGTTGCAGTGACCTGGAGGACAGCTTCACCATCCTGCAGAGCAAGGACCTCAAACAAGAGCCTCTAGATGACCCTACTTGCATAGACACATCCGAAACGTCTCTTTCAAATCAGAACAAGCTGTTCTCAGACATTAACCTGAATGATCAGGAGTGGCAAGAATTAATCGATGAGCTGGCCAACACAGTTCCTGAGGATGACATACAGGACCTGTTCAACGAAGACTTTGAGGAGAAGAAGGAGCCCGAATTCTCGCAGCCGGCGACGGAGACCCCTCTCTCCCAGGAGAGTGCGAGTGTGAAGAGCGACCCCTCTCACTCTCCTTTTGCACACGTCTCCATGGGATCTCCCCAGGCGAGGCCCTCCTCCTCCGGCCCTCCCTTTGCTACGGGCGCCACGGCCGCGAGTTTGCCTTCGGCGGCCAGCACTCCCGCAGCTCCAAACCCCGCCAGCTCACCAGCAAACTGTGCTGTCCAGTCCCCTCAGACTCCCAGCCAAGCGCACGCTCCAGGCCAAGCCCCACCCCGGCCTGGAAACGGCTATCTCCTTAATCCGGCAGCAGGGACCGTGGCCGGTGCCGCGGCGGGCCCCGTGGCCGTGGCCAGCTCCGACATGTCGCCAGCGGAGCAGCTCAAGCAGATGGCCGCGCAGCAGCAACAGAGGGCCAAACTCATGCAACAGAAGCAGCAACAGCACCACTCAAACCAGACCTCCAGCTGGTCGCCCTTGGGGCCCCCGTCCAGCCCCTACGGAGCAGCTTTCGCTGCGGAAAAACCAAATAGCCCAATGATGTACCCCCAAGCCTTTAACAACCAAAACCCCGTAGTGCCTCCCATGGCAAACAACCTGCAGAAGACGACAATGAATAACTACCTCCCTCAGAACCACATGAATATGATCAATCAGCAGCCAAATAACTTGGGTACCAACTCCTTAAACAAACAGCACAATATTCTCACCTACGGCAACACTAAGCCTCTGACCCATTTTAACGCGGACTTGAGTCAGAGGATGACCCCCCCGATGGCCAACCCCAACAAAAACCCGGTGATGCCCTACATCCAGCAGCCGCCGCCGCCACCGCAGCCGCAGCAGCAGCAGCCACCGCCGCCGCCGCCGCCGCCGCAGCTCCAGGCCCCCAGGGCGCACCTGAGTGAGGAGCAGAAGCGCATGCTTCTCATGAAGCAGAAAGGAGTGATGACGCAGCCCATGGCTTACGCCGCGCTTCCATCCCACGGTCAGGTGAGTGTGAAAGCGAGCCGCGCTTCGCGCCGCGCTGCTGATGCGTTTCAGACCCGCGGCGCGCCCTGCTCTCCGTGCTCCGCGGGCGGCGGGCTGTCGTTCCCTGCGTGCCCATTCCTTCCCGTACTGCCTCTTGGCGTTGCCAGGCGTAGGTTTTGGTTTGTGCTTTGTTTTGTTTCGTTTTGTTTTCCCCCTTTCTTCTAAGAGATGGAAAAGGTTGGGACAGTAGACTTTCCTGTGTTTGAATGTCTAGGAATCAAACTTCTTTTATTCCTGCCCGCAGAAAAGGAACCAGAAATTACGGTCAAGTTCTCACTCCGAGAGAGACAGGCCATAGAGGTCACAGGGCAAAACATGCTGTTCCTTCCCGGGCTTCTCTCCCAGGTCACAGAGTCCTAGACTCGGGGTGGTAGCGAGGCCAGAGCGTTTAAGGGATCTCCGCAACAGTTTCATAAGGCCCTGAACATCTCCGCCTATCTTACTGAATAATGGAAACGTGGATTCTTGATGGTTGAATGTGGGAGAGTTGTCCGTAGTTTCAGAGTGGAGGATGGATTTCTGAAGGACCATTCCCCGTTTAAACATTGGCTGCTGCACTGGCACTATTAGATGCTGTGCCAATGCCGCGTGACTTGGGAGTGCAAAAAAACCTTTCCCGATGCGTTCAGCTCTCATCCAGGAAAAGTTGATGGGGGATGTATCTTAGTGCTGGATCACAATAAATTCTCGTCTTTCCCAGTGTCTTTCTTCAGGACATCCTGGTTTAGGGGTGTAGGGCTCTCGGTGACCTGTGGTAAAAATGAGTGGCAACCAGTTGGGGAGTGAATCCTCATTGACAAGCATTCACTCCCCTCATTCTGACCAGGAGCAGCTTATCTACATTGAAGGAGTGGGAAATGCACTGTTCTACTGCCTTTTCTCCAACATGGGTGAACTCGCTGGAGCCACCCTTCCACTACCAGTTGCTGTGTTGTGCCTCTGTCCTCTCAGGATTCTGACATTTGCATCGTAGTTGGGGGTTTTGCAGCAAATTCTTTGCTTTAAGGGCTCTCACTTGCAAACAGGTTCTAACTAGTACTTGGATGTGTGTCCACAGTTGGATGCATTAGAAGCTCTGGGAAGTACTACAGGCAGATCTTGCATCACTAGGGGCTGTTTGCATCTCCCCGGATGGCCGCCCCACCCCACACCCACCCTCCCACCGCTTGATGGAGGCTTGATAGAGGTAGTGCTGGCCTGCAGAGACAGGCCTGAGCTCTATGGCTTGATTCTTGTCCTTCACAGCCTTCCAAGCCCAAAACCTCACAGTGGTTTCTTGTCTGCACATGCCGGCCAGCTCCAAAGAAATTCTGTCTGGAGAAATAAAAATATAGCTTGGTTTACACCAGCTGTAATCAGTAGCTGGTAGAAAAACATCATTGAAATGTGAGCTTTTATGTTTTTATCTTGGTTTCATTAAGAAAAAAAAGCACCATTGGAAAATGCAACACTTTATACACTTCAGTATTAAGTTCTGAAGGAGGCAAAAATAGAGGCAACACACAGGGTTGTTTGTTGTAGCCCAGACGCCTCAGAGGTTTATGAGATCACAAGCTGTCAGAATGGTCTGTTGTTAATCTCAATACAAATTGTGCTTCTACATTTGCTGTTTTTCCTTGAGCAACAGTGAAGTATTTCCTCCAAGCCAGACCAAAGATGATTAATTCCAACTCACAGGCTCTGCAGACATGTGGGTGCAATGTGAACCCATCCTCACTCCCCACCCTCCCTAAATGTCTTTTGAAATTTGCTAACTTGGGATGAAGTTCTTGTCTTTGCTGGAACGTGAATTTTAAAGGTACTTATTTCAGGTCCTTATGCTTGCCTAACTATGAGTAACCGAAGCCTTGAGCTGCAGAGGTCATGTTTTGAAAGGACTCAGTCAAGTGTAGAAACAAAAGTGATGGTTTTCTGGATTAAATCTCTGGGCTCCTCCTCTTTTCCTTCCATCTCACGAGGTACTTTCAGAGTGGACAGAGTCTGCCTTTTTGAGGCCTTATTAGAATAATCACTTCTTAACCTCAAAAAGAACCATCAAGCAAAAGCACACTTTTTAATGAAATATTAACTCACCACTGTTTGAAACAAGCTTCAAAATACATATATAAACATGTGAATATCTTTCTGCAAACATACCATTTATTTCATGCTTTCACCTGATTGTGGAGCAGTATTTACATAGCTCTCAGAATAGTTAATTACACTATATGCGAGTGCATTACACAAATACGAGCTCAAATTACAGGCAAGATATAAAATATAATTATACATAGGTGTAGTTCAAATTTGTTTTCTGCTGTTGCTAGTGAAAATTCACTTTACTCTTTGTTGGCCACAAGGACCATGATCAACACTTAGTTTTAGTGAACGACTTGAATACCAAAGTCAATGATACTAAAACATTTATTTCAAGGTAATTATCTTATACAGATGTTTACTTAATTGGGATATATGCAGACAATGCCATTTCTCTCAGAAGATGCCATTTCTCACTTACCTGGATATTTTTTTTTAAAGAGGGAACCAAAAACTAGAAACAAAAAAACTTATTTCAAAATTTCAAATATGTTTTATTGAGTAATGCCGCTACTCAGAATGTACATGTTATTCCTTATAATTAGAAAATTAAAGATTTATTTACAAAGATTATGCTCCTGGTAATGAAACCAGCTTATGACAATGAAAAATGGGGACCAAAATAAATATTTTGGAATAATAAATAATGTACATGACAATCGTGATATTAATAAGTGATTAATCACATGGCAATGCTCATAAGATGAACAAAATAATCAGATCATACAATAGCTTGTATGTTACAGTCCAGGTTGTGTTTTTTGATATGTGTAGAAAAATACTGAGTATCTAAAATACTAGGAGTGGAATTTTGGGTTGGCAAAATTGTGATTATTGTTTTCCTCTTATAATTTACTGAATTTTCTAAATTTTCTATCATATAATGTATGTTAATCCCACCATCAGGAAAAATACTTTTTAAGCAAAGAAAATCCCCTGTTTTAAAAAAAAGTTTATGTTTCACTAATTCTTTTTTTTTAAAATCCTTATTTATCCACTTTGTCAGTTGGATTGAGGTGATACCGTTATTGTCTATTCATTTACATATGTTATGTGTAAATTCCTCCTTCCTTCTAGAGAGAGTGCTGAAACCCACTCCCCACATTCCCTCTCTTTTCCTTTCTCTCTCCACATCCTTTTTTTACTTCTTCTCTTACGTCCCATCAAACTGCAGCTAAAACAGTGACAGTGAAACTATCGATCAAATTTCCACCATCATAAGCTTTAGAATCTTCTCAGGGTTATGTTCTTGTATTATTTCTTTGATCTTTTCTTCTTTCTCTTTTCTTTTCTTTTTCTTTTTTTTTTTTTACTCTCTGGAACTTCATCATATACTGGGCCTTCAGGATTGCTCTTTAATTTTTAAAATTTGTGTTTCTGGGTTGAAATAACCAGAACTTACTTTGGTCATGTCACTCTATTATCTTTTCCTAATCTCATTTCTCGAAGACAGGATCTCTCTGTCTGTCTCTCTCTCCCTCCCTCCGTCTCTGTCTCTGTGTGTGTCTGTCTATTTTTGCTATTTTTTCGTAGTACCTATCACTGTGTCTTCAACATAACGATGTTTAATAAATCATTAAACATGGCAATTATCAAAGTTCAAGCCAAAAATATGTTTACTTGATTATCAGCTCCAGTGGAGAGAGCATTAGCAAAAATAACACAGAGCTGTTTTTGAGATCAAATAGAAGAGCCGGAAAGACAGGTCTAAAAGGAATCCTTTGATACGAGGTGGTTATCTTGAACCAATAGAACAACAATGGGGTTGCTGGGACAGCAAACTCAGTCTCTGTGTCTGACAAACAAAAAAACAGTGGAGCAACTATGAAAGAAGGAAACCAAAAGCAAATGACTGCCTGCTGGTCAAGGAATGTGACAGGGATACCCAAAGCCCAAAAATAATTCCTACATGGAATAGTGGAAAGCGAATAATTTCCAAAATGTGATGTTAATTTTTAGTAGTTACTGTCGTAGGACTAGATAAATCATAGACTAGTGTGCTACGTTATTCTTTACATGTGTGTTTGCTATGTGTGGCTGTGTATATCACAATGAGAACATGCATGCTCATATTTTATAGAATGTTTTCCCCTTTCAATTTTATTTTACCAAAATATGTTGGGTACCATGTGAGGTATATACTATTATGAGCTTTTTAGCCATAAAATCTCCACAAAAAGAACAGAGCTCTAGTATTCACAGCCATCTTGGAAATCTCTTTGAAGGTATATTTTCCTTAACTCTAAAAACCTGGAGCTGCTTTGTTTAGTTTCCTTAAGATATATTGTTTACTTTATTCAAATAATACATGACATAGTTTCAAAAGTTAAATAGTACTGCAAGGCTTCTGAGGAGAAATAGCCATCTACCGCTTCATCCCCTCCATTGTTAAGTTGTTTTCTCTTACTTATCTCCATCAACTGCTGGTTCTCAATTTTTCAATGATTTGATTCTGTAGAAGATGAGGATTTAACCTGCTTATACTACCTCCTCATAAGCATAACCCCCACAGACAGAGTCTGTTTCTCTTCCCTAAACTCTCAATATAACTAGATATATCACAAATTATGATTTTAAAGTATTCCATATTTACATGAGTGATTTTTGCATAGCACATCACAGTTTCATTATGTAGTATACTCTGATTATATTTCCTTTCTTATACAACTTTTTGTTTTCCCTGGAATTAATAATAGTCTCTTTTTTTGTTGGTGTTGTCCTTATACCTACCTTCAATCCATCCTCAAACTTGTCCGACTCTGTAAAACTCGAGATATGATCAAAATCAAATAATCTATTTTTCTTATATTTTCTTTCCTATTTTTCCTCTCTCCCTTTGCTCTCACTTCTCTCTTTCTCTTCCTTGATCTTTCTTTCCTTTAATG